AACCACCAACCCCCTGGCTAGTCGTGAAATGCTTTACCAATTACACCACCAGAGCTCCTAAACATCATAGAGGGAAAAGAATTCTGTTGTGTCTTTAATCTCTGAATCTTAGATATCAATTCATTGGACTTTCTGATTTCTGTAGGAAAAAAAAAAGAAAAATGAGGCAATCTGCTTCCATAAATATTTTTTGTTGTTGTTGTTATGTGCCATTGAGTCAGACCCGACTCAAAGCGGCCCCTTCTTGGGTTTCCGAGGGAGTATCACTACAGAAGTAGATTGCCCAGCCTTCCTTCTGAGAAGTGGCTGGTGGGTTTGAACCGCCAGCCTCCTGGTTAGCAGTCAAGTGCCTTAGGCATCATGCTAGCAGAGATCCTCCATAAATATTTACAGTCTTGGAAACCCTAGGGAGCAGTTCTACCCTGTCCTATGGAGTCACTATGAGTCTGAATTGACTCAAAGGCAGTGGGTTTGGTTTGGGTTTAGATAGGTTTCATAACTTCCAGATTCCATAGCCATCTAAAGACCTGCCAGATTTTTAGTGGGTCTTCTCCTCCTATAAATAATTGGAGTTTTTTTTCTTAGCATTAATTTTGGAGGATCTGCCAGTCCAGTTTGTCCTTGGTTACTAACCTAAAGATTGGCAGTTCAAACCCATACTGGGGTGTCACAGAAGAAAGGCCTGGCGATCTGCTTCCATAAAGATCACAGCCAAGAAAACCCTATGGACTGTTCTACTCTGTAATACATGGGATAATCATGAGTTGGAATTAACTTGATGGCAATGTTTTTGTTTTGGCCAGTGTTTCCAAATCTAAATCCAGAGAAGTGATCTGTTGGTTTTTCAATTAGAGAAATGTTTATGGACAAGCAACTCTCTCTGTGGAATAGTTCACAAAGTGTAGAATGGCCCACTCTTGTTTATACTTCAGGTCAGTGCTTGGGTGTCACCTCTACCAGAAGGACTGCCTATATGACCTCAGTCTTGTGAGGTTCCCCTCCCATGTGGTCTCTTAATCCCATACCCTCTCATTTATCAACCTACATTCTAATAACTTCTCTACTTCTCTCTCTTCATCTCTTGCTTGAAAGCTCTGTGAGAACAGAGAATTTTTCTCTCTTGTTCATAACTATTCCCTCTTCTAGATGCAGTGCCTGGGACATAGCAGTTACTCAGGAATATTTTGTTAAATGAATACATTTCTATGATCCTTGGCTAGGTCCTCTTTTTTTAATTCTCTAAATGAATTCCTTTTTTAATATTAAAGGAAAAAATATAAGGGTTCTACTTAAATTCTTCACTGTTTATTTCCTTGCTGTTACATGGAAGCTGAATAAAATGTATTATTACTCAAATTCTACTCATTATATCTGTTTGAAGAATGCACCTAGTTACTTAGCAGCAAAATTTTACCTAGAAGCTGGGTTCCTGATCTCCTAAGCTTAGGAGGTTTGTTAATCTATGCTCCTTTCTTATAGAACGGTCATGCCAGTCTCCTGGAAATAAAACATGACAGTCTGGGTAGGGAAGCAGAGGTGTTGGATGGCTGGGTTGCATTACCTGGGCCCACTCCCAATTTCAGCTACAGCTGTAGTGAAAATTCTGTGCAAACTCAGACTTATGTTGCTTGTAATACATCCCAAGAGTCAGCCTACAGATCATCTTTCCACATCAAGTAAAAGAAGCCCTCTTTGCTCTGTGAACACATACAAGCCAGGAGGGCAGGGAGTTAGTAGCCCTGGGGAAACCCTCAACCAACACAGTATGGGAGTGGTGGATCAGTGTTCCAGTTCCTGATGGATAACTCAAGGAGGCATTCTGTGTGTTACTCAAGATGTCCTGGAAGAATAAGCAATAATTCCAGTAACGAACCCTTATATTGACTTTTCTTTTTCCTTTTTCACTGACTCATGATTTCCATTCCCTAAAAGCACTTCCCAAATTACCTCATTGTATCCAAATCATTATCTCAGGCTTTGCCTTGGGGGTGACCAAACTAAGCCAAATATTCATCCAATAAACAAAGTAGTTATACTGTTACTGTTGTTAGCAATCCCAAGCAGAATAGAATTGGGCCATTGTGATTCATAGGGTTTTCATTGGCTGATTTTTCAGAAGTAGATCCTCAGGCCTTTTCTTCCTAGTGGGTCTGGGTCTGGAAGCTCCGCTGAAACCTGTACAGCATTATTGCAATATGCGAGCCTCCAATGACAGTTGAGTGGCAGCTGCACTTGAGGTGCATTGGCTGGGAATTGAATCTGGGTCTCCCACATGGAAAGCAAGATTTCTACCATTAAACCGCCAGTGCCCCCAGTCTATGTTAGGCCCTGAGATAAAAGACTTAGAAGATAAAATCACTAGTGCCTGCTCTGAAGGGTATAAGGGGAAGACAAAAAAGTAAACAATTACAAAACAAACAAATAAACAAACAAAAAACGCTACGCTAGTGGCAAGAACAGAATGATACGTGAAGACATGGGTTGGGGGTATCATCTAACCCATACTCAGGAAAGGAGATTCCTAGAGAATGTATTGCTTGAGCTAATAGAGGAAGGGTGAGCCAAATACAGATATAACTTTATACCATGCACATGTGATATATGGGGCAATCTTCTTCCATAGTGATACTGCCTCGAAAACCCAAGGAGAGGTCACTATGACTCGACCGCACATAACAACACCAACATGCACATGTCAACTGAAAATTCAATTGATACCTCTTTATGCTATGTGTAAGAGTTCTGGGTTTCCATGAGTTGGAATAGATTTGACAGCAGCCAACAACAAAGGGCTATATTCTGTCCTCTAGTGGTATGCAATACATGGCATGATTTTTGGTGGTACATGAACGTGCATTTGAACTTTTTTGTAGTTGTATATTTATATTAATGTGTATTAGAATAAAATGTAAGGAGCATAACAAACTTGATTTCAAAGAGTATGATGGTTTAGGATAAGGCTTAAATTTTTAAATGATTCATCCATTGGCTTTAAAGAAAAATATTGAGTGAATAATAATACCCACGTGTTGTTGTTATGTGTCATCAAGTCGGACCCGACTCATAGCAACCCCTCCTTAGGTTTCCAAGGCAGTATCACTAGGGAAGTAGATTGCCCAACCTTCCTACTGAGGAGTGGCTGGTGGATTTGAACCACCAACCTTCTGGTTAGGAGTCAAGTGCCTTCAGCACTATGCTACCAGAGCTTCCACATATAGGTTGGCAAAAATTGTGTAGGTGGTAGGCAGATTATTTCACTTTGGGAAGCAATGTTATAGCAGAAGGAATATCTAAAATGAAATTCCTGCATTTCAGGAACTCACAATTCATTGAGGATCACAGACCTACAAAAAAGAGTGATAAATAGTACAATAAATTCAGAAATCATATGCAAGGAGAATATAAGAAAACAGTGAAGAGCAAAGTGAAGGAGAGGCTAGAGACTACAAGATCAATTGGAAGGATATTGCTCTAGTCTGTTGTTGTTATTTGCTGTTGAGTTGGACCTGACTCATAGCGACCCTTCCTTGGGTTTCTGAGGCAGGCTGTAAATCTTTACGGAAGCAGTAGCAGACTCCATCTCTCTTCCCTGGAGCAGCTGGTGGGTTATACCTGCCAACTTTTCGGCTTTAACCACTGCGACACCAGACTTCCGAAATGTAGGAATCTATCTGTATATCTTTGTATTTCTCCAGCCTCTGAGTCAATTGAGAAAAATGGGGGCAAATACCTGAATAATTCACACTAAAAAGTTTTGATAACTGAAGCCAAATAAAAGTATATTCCTGATTATATGTTATAATTTTAACATATATATATGCACAGAGGTTAACCTCTGATGATAACTTCTGATGATTAATCCATATCTCCCACTTTTTTTTTCCTAATGTGCTGTTGTGGACCAAAATGCTCTTGACTTGGCCAGACATGTTTTACCTTTGTCCTGCTTCAACCAGTGAGGTTTTCACAAGATGGTTGCAATGAGCCTGTTACATTAGTTGTGTTTCTTCTATATCTATGACCACTACGTAATTCAGGTTGTTATTACCTTTCTTCTAGACTAGAGCAACAGGAGTTCTGGTGGCATAGTGCCTAAGGCACTTGACTGCTAACCAGAAGGCTGATGGTTCAAACCCACCAACCACTCCTCGGAAGGAAGGTTGGACAATCTACCGTTGTAGTGATACTGCCTCGGAAACCCAAGGAGTCGCTATGAGTTGGGTCCGACTCCGTGACAAATAACAACAGCGACAGGTCACTATGAGTCGGAATGGATTCGACAGCAACGAGGTAGTTTTTATTCTAAGCTTTGGAGCTCTGGTAGCATAGTGGCTAAGACACTTGCCTGCTAACCAGACGGCTGGCGGTTCAAACCCACCAGCCACTCCTCGGAAGGAAGGTTGGACAATCTACCGTTGTAGTGATACTGCCTCGGAAACCCAAGGAGGGGTCGCTATGAGTCGGGGCCGACTCGACGGCACACAACAACAACAACAACAACAACAACTATCCTTATAACCTGTATCTCACAGATGAAGAAACCGAAGCATAAATAGGTTAAGTAACTAACTGATCAAGAGGTTAAGCAACTGCCATGTGAAGTAGCATTTTTTTACACCACAATAAATAGGTCGGGCAGCAATGCTAAAAGCAGGTCACACTTCAGCGTTGGGGCGTGAAACATTCCATCTTACTGCTGGCAGTAGACCTGGTTCTGAGATCTGGCTTCGCTGAATAACCTCAAGTAAATAGCCGCTTAGTCAGAAAAAGTTTTTTTTCTGAGCCACAGTTTCTCGATCTGTAAAATGGAGATAATAACCATGCCAGGGTTTTGGTGAAAAGAGAAAATGAGATAATGAATGTGCACTTCAAACTGTATATGCGCTCCACATACTAGTTTTTCGAAATACGAATACATGAACTCATTAATTGCAACAAATCAGTCTGTGTATCTTACAACTCCAGAGCCAGACTCCGTCCCCGAGGCTCCGCCCACCCCAAGAGACAGGTGGGGTAGGCAGATTTTTTTGCGCATGCGGAAACCGCTGCCCGCTCCCACCTCTAACCCAGACTGAGAATAGCTGCTGTTTCTGAACTGACGATTCGTAAGGAGTTCCCTTGCGCGTTTCTCCTTTGCTGTGCCTTCTGCGGGCTTTTGCCGCACCACAGCGGCATCCAGAGCGTGGCCTGTTCTCGCCTCCTTTCCTGACTCTCTGCAGGGGTTACTGCCGTGGGCCCAAGAGTTCGCTGTCGAAAGTGCCGACCCCCGCGCCGGCGCCGGGATCAGCCGGGTGGGAAGGCTCAAGATGGCGTGCCTATTGGAGACCCCAATCCGCATGAGCGTCCTCTCGGTGAGTGATCCGCCACGGCCACCTGCCCGCCTGGGCGCTCTGGTCCGTCCGGCAGAGTTCCCCCAAGCGCCGCGTGCCTTCCGGGCACCACCCCCTGGGGTGGCTTTCGGTTCAGGCTCGGATCCGGGAGTAAGGAAGGGTGGGCGGGCGGGATAGGACCCAACCAAGCTGCAGACGTCTCCAACTCTGGAGGCTCCTACCGGTGCTCGTTCCCAGGACGACGTCCGATAGACAGGGTGGTCGATCGTACTGGCAGCTGACCCTGCGGCGCGGCTTGGGCTTTGCTAAGCGCTTCTCTGAACCTTCTTAGCGATGCCGCTTCTTCGGGCCGCAGCTCTACCGGTGAGGCGCCAGGCTTGCTGCCGGCCTGGGAACGAGCTCCAGCGCAGCCCCCTGAGGCTTTGGCAAGAAGAGGTGCATTTGGCCCCTTCAAGCCCCAGAGCTGCCAGCCCAGGTCTGTGTTGCTTTTATCACGTCCCAGCCGCGGGTATGGGCTGGAGCTGCTTGCTTCTTAGCAACTGGCATTTCATGTCAGCTGCAACGTCTTGTAGGGTTTGTGGTTATTTAAGCCCCCTTTTCTCCGCTCTGTTCAGGAAGTCGCGGTTCTGAGTTTAAAGGAACTGTATACTTGTGCTTCGCATTCCTTTTTTCATTAAAGGGAGTCAAACATTGAGAAAAAGAGATCCCATTTTCCCATTATTGGAAGAATGGAATATATTATCATGCCGGGAAGTAATACCTGTATTTTTTTAAATTAAAAAAAAAAAAAAAAAATTCATTGTGCTGCTCTTGAGAGAACCAGGACCAGGATGTGAAAGTTACCTGGAGGTAACTTAGAAAAATTCTTCAACAAATTCGAGCCGTTTAACCCTGAGAGTGGTCAATCTACCCCATTGGTCCTTTTGCTATTGTTGGAAACAAGGAGGCAAAGACTGGTTCATGTTCATCATCTTTTAGACTTACAATGGAAGCCAATTTAACATACTAAGAGGGTAGTCGGACTATAAATGATTAATTGGGTTCCTAGAGTGACTCCAACCGTTTTATTTTCTCTTTCTTGCTGTCTCTCACCAATACACCAATACACGCACCTGTGTGAAAGCACCTGGGACATTTGTGTATGATACACGGTTAGAGCAGTGTGGCATACTGCAGCCTCAGAAAGACATAAGTTGACAGTACAATAATAATAATAATTTAATTTTGGGGGACTGTCAACAATTTTGTCCCTTGTTCCATTTTTAACTGCAACTGGGGAGATACTGATACTAGATGAGATTAGCCCATTATTCCATTTCTGACTGTAATGCCCAGAATGTTTTGTGGGAAAGCAGACCAATGGCTTTTCCATCATTATGTTCTTACAAAGGGTATGTGTCATGTCTTTTCTCAATTGCTCTTTAATTATCTCATTTAGATTTTAGTTATCCTTCAGTTTACCTGGAGATTCTTTACTTTTTGTTCATTGTCAACTTGTGTAGTGCATATGATTGAAAAATTTCATTTGTTTTACTCTCTCAGTAAATAATATTTCCTGCTTACTTTTATTCAGAAACTTCTTAAAGAATATTCCTTATTTCTAGTTGGGATTTGCTTTAGCCCTTGTCTCATTGGAGGCTTATTTTTATAGGTTATCGTAGCCCAAATTTATCTATTCTTCAGTCTTAAATCCTTGGGAAATCAGAACTTTGGATAAATGATTTAAACTGTCTAAACTCACTTGGCTGATTCATATCCGAACTGATTTTTACTAATATAAAGTAAAAGCTGTAATTTACAAAGTAATACCCAAGGCACCACTTTTTGGAATACAAAGTGCAGGTGGTACAGAAAATAATAATCAGAAATTATCTTGAATAGTTGATTTCGTTAATAAACTACTTATCGTATACACATTATGCATAAAGACTTTGTATTGTACACTTTCAGGAACGCAAGGATGATATCAGACTTGCCCTCAAGGAGGTAGAAGACTGTAGAAGACAGTCTAGAAGACTATAGTTTGATACATATCATTTGCACAAGTGGGGAATCAAATTGTTTTAAAGGATTTCCATCCCGGGCCCTTTGTACCTTCTTCCTGAGATCTCATACACTCTCCTGGCCTTAATGATGATCATTTCACACTTCTACAATGCCAGATTTGACTTTTTGCCCACATCTACTCTCACATCTTCAATTATATGAATTTCACCCATCATTTCCAACAAAGCACATTCCTTCTCCTAAGAGAAGGATGTAGTCATGACTTCCCAATTTCTGTTAAAGATACTGTCTTTCTCTGATCACTCACCATTAAACCTCCTGACTCCGACTCTTCCCTCTCATGCGCCTGTATCTAATCAGTCGTTAAGTTCTGTTCTTTCTTTATTGTTAATGTTTCTCATTTCTTTCTGTTCCCATGGCCACCCTTCCATTCAGGGGCTTATCATTTTGTGCCTGCAATTTCACAATATTCTCAAAATTATTTTTACTGCCTGTCATATCTTGTCCTCTCAGTTTAGGTCCATGTGCACATTAATTTCTCTGAAGAACACATTGTATATGCCACGTCCCTGATTTAAATTTGTTAATGAGTTCCTATTGCTGAAAAGCTGAAGTTAATATTCAGCTTTGTATTTAAGATTCTTTATACTGTATTAACTGGCTTTCTCACGTTGAAGTGATCTTGGGTTCTTCCAAACCTCAGTAACTGAATGTCTCATTTGGAAATATGTAACTCAGTTGAACATATGAATTACAGCTTTGCATGTATGAATTTATTCAAGGAATGTATTTTGAGCTTCTTTCATTTGGTTGGCATGCCATTGGGTTCTGGGAATACAGTGGTGAGCTACGTAGACCTGTCTCTGCTCTTTTGGAGATTATAGCCTAATGGGGAAAATAAATACCAATTAATCACACAGTTATTTGTGAATGCTGGTTAGTGCTATGAATGAAAAATAGAGGGTACTATGAGTGCATGTGGGAGCTCTGGTAGCATAGTGCCTAAGGCACTTGACTGCTAACCAGAAGGCTGGCGGTTCAAACCCACCAGCCACTCCTCGGAAGGAAGGTTGGGCAATCCTACTTCCGTAGTGATACTGCCTCGGAAACCCAAGGAGGAGTCGCTATGAGTTGGGGCTGACTCGACGGCATACAAACAACAACAACAACATGAGTGCATGTAATGGAGGAAGCTGATCTAACATGGGAGACCATGGGGAAAGCTGGGGAAGGTTTCCCTGAAGAAGTAGCTGAGAATTGAAGGATGAGTATGAGTAAACTAGAAGAAGTGATAGGAAAAGAGCCTTCTAGACAAAGGGAACTGCTTTTGCAAGGCTCTGAGGCCTTAATTATTCTGTCTTCTCTGTTAGAAACCAGTTGCCTTCACACTGATTCAGATTCATGGAGACCCATGTGTGTCAGAGTAGAACTGTGCTTCATAGGATTTTCAATGGCTGACTTTTTGGAACTAGTTCGCCAGGCCTTTCTTCTGAGGCACCCCGGGTGGACTTGAACTAAGCATGTTAGTCGTTGGTACCTCCCTAATGCACTCAGCTGGTCACTGAAAGGCTGGAGGTTGGAGTCCGCCCAGAGGCACTTCAGAAGAAAGACCTGATGATGTGCTTCCGAAAAATGAGCTGTTGAAAACCCTAGGGAGCACATTTCTACTCTGACACACATGGGGTTGCCATGAGTTGGAATCAGCTCCTCGGCAACTGGTCTTAGAGGAAATTAATTCAAAGGTAAGTGCTTACTTCTTATTCTTTTTTATCCCACTGCTACCTATAGCACCATGTTTTGCATATACTAGATGCATGATAAATGTTTGATTGAATGATCTCTCTTGGGAAGTTTGACAAACTCTCCAGCTCTCTTCCTAGACTGCATCATGATCACCCCATTCTGTTTGATTTGCACTTAGCATTTACAATGTTACCCTCTCCAACAAATTTATAAATTCTTCCATGTTTCCCAAATTTACAGGTATTTTACATTAAATTTAAAAAAAAATTTTAAAAACTAATTATAGATTCATAGGATATTGCAAAGATAGTACAGAGAATTCCCTATGTACCTTCACTCAGTTTCCCCACTTGGTTACATCTCACATAACTATAGTATAATATCAAAATCAGGAAATTAATATTGATCTAATATATATGTATAGTTTTATATCATTTTACCACATGTATATTCATGTAACTACTACATGATACAGAACTATACCATCACTCATGCTACCCCTTTATAGTTGTACCTCTTCCTGTGCCCCCCACAATCCCTAATCAGTGACAACCACTAAGCTCTTCTCCACTGCTATCATTTTGTCATTGTCAATAATATTACACAAATGGACTCACAACCTTTTGAGATTAGCTCTTGTCATTCAGCATAGTATTTTTGAGATCCATTCAAGCTATTGTGTGTCTCAAGAACTCCTTTTTATTGCTAAGTAAATTCTGTGGTATGGATGTACCATAGTTTAATCATTCACCTATTATAGAATGGTGGTTGCAGCAATGGGCTTGGTGTGGCAAGAACTGTGAGGCTGGCACAGGACTGGGCAATGTTTTGTTCTGTTGTTCATGGGGTCGCTATGAGTCAGAGCTGACTCGATGGCATCTAACAACAACATGGGACATTTTAGTTGTTTCTAGATTTGGACTGTTATAAATGACCTACTATGAACAATCATGTACAGTTTTGTGTGTGGACATAAGTTTTTGTATCTCTGAGATAAATGCCCAGGAGTGTGATTGCTATTAAATGGTAAATGTGTGTTTAATTTTTAAAGAAGCTGCCAGATTATTTTTCAGAGTGGCTGTAATATTTTATATTCCCAGCAGTTTCTCTGCATGTTTACCAACACTTGGTTTTGTCACTATTTTTTATTTTAGCTGTTCTAAAAAGTATGTAGTGATACTTCATTATAGCTTTAATTTGCATTTTCCTAATGGTTAGTAATGTTGAAAATCTTTTCGTTGCTTGTTTGCCATCCATGTGTATCCTCTTTCATAAAATATCTCTTCATATCCTTTTGCTCATTTTCTAGTTGGATTGTTTGCTTTTTTCACTGTTGAGTTTTGAGAGCTCTTATATATTCAAGATATGAGTACTTTGTCAGATAGGTGCTTTGCAAATATTTTCTCACAGTCTAAGCTTTTTTTTTTTTTTTTCATAAATGGTCAAAAATAAATCTTGACCTAGAGCTCATACTTTATACAAAAATTAACTCAAAATGGATCATAAATTTAATTGTTGTTGTTGTTATGATGTACTGTCGAGTC